AGGGTTTTAGAGGGGAGGGGGAGGGGGGATTGGTTAGCCCGGTGATGGGTATTAAGGAGGGCACATACTGCATGGAGCACTGGGTGTTATACGAAAACAATGGATTGTGGATCACCACATCAAAAACTAATGATGTATTGTATGGTGACTAACATAATAAAATTAAAAAATAATAAAAAAATAAAAAATAAAATCACTGGTAAGGGCGCCTGGGTGGGTCAGTCGGTTAAGCATCTGCCTTCAGCTCAGGTCATGATCTCAGGATCCTGGGACTGAGTTCCACACTGGGCTCTCTGCTCAGTGGGGAGTCTGCTTCTCCCACTCACTCTCCTTCTGTGCTGTCCCTCTCTCTCTCAAATAAATAAAATCTTAAAAAACGAAACAAAAACACTGGTAATGACAAATCCTGTGTTAACAGTTTACAGTTAACAGTCCCTGGGTGCCCTCTGGCATGTGATTCAGGGTTGGCACAAAGATGCCAGAGATGTAGTTCAAAAACATCCCTTGTGGAAGGAATGGGCCAGCATGGGAGCAAAACTAGTCATAGGTAATCCACAGGTGGAGATGCCATCAGGGGACATCTGCCCAGCCCATGTTCCTTCTGTCTTCCCTCCTCTTTGAACCCTGCTCCCTCTCACAGCAGGGGTACGCTCCTTAAGCCATGTTTCTCTCCATGAAATGAAAAGTCCCAGCCCAGCTGCCGCCTCCCTGGCCACAGGTGACTTGGTCAAGCAGATTCTTGATCCCAGGAATCAGGCATTCCCAGAGCAAGCCCCTTAGAGGGCCTCAGCTGGAAGCTGAGGGAGACAAAGGGAGTTGAAGGTGCCAGCCTGGGCAGTCATGATGGCCCATGTGAATGGAAGAGCAACAAGTCAACCTGTAGAGAGAGGAGCATGAAGCTGATGTACAAGGAAAAGTTACAACCAGAAGCAACATGGCCCAAGAAGGCATGTTGAGAGTTACCTCTGACCCCAGTGACCTGCCAGACCCTGATTCACTTCCTGCCCGTGTTTTCTAAGATAGTCTCCCATTTCCCCAAAGTCCCGGCAGGTCTCAGTATTCGTCTGCTTAAGCTATTTCCAGCGGGTTTCTGACTCTCTCAGCCTATGTCAATGAAGACTTGACATTCCCGAGGCTTCCTAGAAGAAATTATGGAGTTGTTTCACAAACACTCCATGTAGAAGCCCATCTGGTCTTTTCTGGAATTTCAAGGACCTGTTAACTCTGAGGAAAGGTTAAAAATTATCTGGGGGAAAGAAATTACCTAAATATCCTAGAAACAAGGGGATGCTTATGTAAATTATGGTTATGTCAATCTGATGGAAGGTTCTACTACCAAGCAACTGTTCGGAAGACCTAAGATTCAATATAGAAAAACACCAATATGCAATATTAAACAAAAATAAAAATACAGGACTATATCTGCCAAAATTACAACCATTACATATGAAAATTACATACTGAAGGGGCCTACTACTACTAATAATCACCATCAATGGATTTGTTACTGATGGGTTTATAGGTGATTTGCTTTCCTTTTTCCTCAATATTACTCTGAGTTAATACAACTCACATTAATTAACATAATACAAAATTTTAAAAGAAACTACTCTACCTTAGGACTATCCAAAGAACATCAGGACTTAGCTGATAATCTGTCCCATCACTCTGGGAGTCGGCTGGCCTAGAAGTTATCCAGCCCAAATCTATTCCAATGACCACGACTGAGGATCTACAACAATGAAGTAAAGAAATGCCAAGAAACCAAAGTTCATATGCTTTGAAATGTCTACTTCAGAATGTAGACATGAATATTAAATAAGATGTGCCAAATGCCTAACACAGTGCTTGGCATATAGTAAGTGCTCAATCAGGGTTCATCAATCTACCGTCAATCCCTATTACTTGCAGATTCTATATTTGCAAATTCACCTACTCACCAAAATTTATTTGAAGCTCCAAAATCAGTATTTGTGGTGCTTTCAAGAACATGTACAGAGCATGGGAAAATTTAAGTCACCTGAAACACATGTTCTCAGCTGAGGTCAACTAGGCAATGCTCTTATTTCAGCTCTTTAAACAACTATCCTTTCCAAGGTATATTTAGTGCCACCTCTTCTCGTATCTTATATTTTTTGTTGGTAATTTCACCATTTAAAATAGCAGAAGTACTATCTTGTGTTCTTCACCCTTTATAAGGGTGTGATTCGCCTTAAGAGAAAATAGGTGTGTTAGATAAGCTTTGTTCAGGCAAGAGCTATAGCGCTATTGGCCATGAGTTTAACGTTAATGAATCAACAACATATACTAAATAAGTTGTCTTTAAACAGAAATACACATACAACAGTGTATATACTTACCAGTTGATGAAAATATTGTGACCAGAAATTTGCCAGACCCTAATCCTGTAGTTCCCCTAGGAGACATCATTCAGCAGTTGTTTGGGGTGCCCCCAGAGAACATAACTAACATATATAATGAGAACCAAACGCACATGCAGATAAGCAGGACCTTTCTTACTAAGCTAACTTTTAGTAACAAGAGTCTCAGCCTGCTGACTAGAAAGCTGCTTGGCCAATTTAAAAATAGCTTGCTAACTCCACAAAGAGGGCCAGAGGCATTTTGGGACAAGTCCAGGAAAGATCTCTATAGAGTATATTTCTCTAGACTGCAAAGTCCCATCTCTTCAAATAGACCCGAGGGGAACCATGCTGTCCAATACAAAAAAATAGATCACAAACCAGTTCATTTTGTTACATGCACTTACGTATTTTATGGGTATTTTGTATAGGAAAAAAACGTCTAGAGAGAAATACAACAAAATGTTAGTATTATCTCTGAGAGCTGTTTTTTTCCCCTGACAAAATGCTTAATGACAAATAGAAGAAAGCAATAAAGATAAAAATTTGAGAAAGTAGAATATGCTATCTCAAGCCCCATTGCCCCAGAATGGCTACTAAACACCTGAAAAATGGCTAATTCAAATGGAAATGTGCCGTTAAGTGTAAAATATTCACTGGATTTTGAAGACTTATTACAAAAAAGAATACAGAACATCTCAATAACTTTTTTCATTAATAACTCTTTATGATTACACATTGAAATGATATTTAGATATATTTGGCTAAATAAAATAAATTTTACCCACTTTTTACATTTCAAATGTGGCTACTAGAAAATTTTAAATTACATATGTGGTTCATATCATACTTCTATTGGACACTGCGTTTCTAGTGGAAAACTGGACTCAAATTTTAAAGTTGCCTTTAGCCCCTCAGTCTCAGGTAACAGGGCAAAATTCACAAGAAAACAAAACAAAAAAGTATGGTATCTGTGGTACAGACTGAGACCCACCCTCTATATCCAGCTAAAGAACTACATTTACCCTGAGGGTAGACATGCAACTAAATTCTAGTCTACGAGATGTAATTGGAAGTGCTGTGTGTGACTTCCAGGAAGTCACCTTAAATTAGAGGTGGCTTGTAAGTCTTTCTCCCTTTTCCTCCTCCATCCTTATTGCCTGGAATGTGAATACAATGGCTGATGCTTTAGCAGCCATCTTGGACAATGAGTTTGAAGATCACAATTTAGACACCATGGCAGGGTGGTGAATTACAAAGATTCCTGACCAAATTTCTCCCACTTCAGAGAGAAATAACCTTCTATGGTGTTTAAGCTGCTGTTATTTTGGGATTTGCCATTACATAGCCTGATTGGAAACTGACCTTTGAGTTATTCTGGATGGATTCTATCAGCAAAGACAGCTTCTTCTGCAGCTCCTGCAAGTCCTTTGAGGTACTCGGGGGCTCCTCTTTTGCCATCCTGAAACCCACTCCTGTCTCTTTAGGGATTAATGCTTCTACCATTAAGCTGTCCAGGGCAGGGCACAGTCGAATGTCTCATGTCACCCAGTCTCTTGCGTCACTGGTGAAACAAAAAGTACCTTGAACCATTAGTATTCACCCAGCTAGTTCGACAAAAGCTTCTACTATCCTCACACAATAGGTGGAGGGTGGATTGGCAATATCTATCAGAATTTCTAAGTGCACACGCCTTCAACCAACAACTTATTTTCCAGGAATCTGAAGGAAATAATCAAATAGGTATATCAAAACATACAAAAAGGATGTGCAGTGCAATTCTATGTATAGTATATAATAAACAGCAAAACACTGGAAAGAAGCTAACGGTCCATTAGAAAATTGGTTAAATAATGATAAATTCATAAAATGGAGTATCGCATAGTCATTAAAATGATAATGTAGACATCAAGTTAGTGACATGAACATGTCCATGATAAGTGAAAAAAATGATAAGATATCCCATATGGTTACATAAATGTATTTTATGTTTATATTCCATAGTAAAAGACCTAGAAGGATATATATAGATCATTTAATACCAAAATGTTAATGGTATTATCTCTGGGGACTTAATGTATATTTTTTTAGCCTGACAAACTGCTGCAAAGAATATGGTAGAACTTCTTAATAATAAAAAAAAAAGACAAAAAAAAAAAAAAGAATATAGTAGAAAGCTGAATACACCATTTCAAGTCCCATTGCCATTTTTCCCCCCAGAAAGCCTTTCTTAAACAGTGATGGTGGCCAATTTCTTTATTTACTACCCACACTAAACAGGTTGGCTTCCAACCACATAAATCATTCTCTATTTACTTGTAAGTCTCCACTTAATGGGTTAGGTGTCTCAAGGGCAGACTAAGCCACAGTTATACTCTGTGACTCAACAGGCTTTAATTTCCAGGACTGTCCTAAGTTCATGTTAAAAACCAATTTGTTCAATAAGATATTTTTTAACCCCTATTGGATTTTCATATAAATGAATATATCGTTATTTTATATTTCCCAGAACTGTAGGGTTGGACACAATTTCTCCCTTAGAAATGACCTTACTGATAATAAAAAAGCCTCAGAGATCCTGTCACAGTGGCCAAAATTAACTGAGTGATGCTGACATCTGTTTACCATGTTGACTATACCACATGGTAATTATGTGAGTTAAGGGGGAGGAGTTACTTTACTAACACCTATAGGGTCTAGAATGCAGATTAAAGTACATTTTCATCACCCCAGCTAGAGAGCCTCTGCTACAACCCCCTTTGTCAAACAGGAACCCTTTGGACAGGAAAGAACTAACCCCTCCACAGCCATATTCTGTCTTTGAAGTTGCAACTGGCACAGATCTTGGATTTGGGACGTTCCCAGGATGTAGCTCCCCTAATCTCATCTCTGCAGCAAGCAGATACAAGCCCAGCTCCCCTACAGGTCTCCAGAGGCCTAGGGAACCCAAGGGCCACCCAGACCGGTTTGGGGAGTCCGATGGGAACGAACCTGGGTAGAATGCCATGGGCCACAGCCGTCAAATACATCCACCTGCCTACCAATCCCCAGACCCCCTAGTCACTCACTCTACAGAGGGGGTCTCCCCAGGAACTGAGAAGTCTCTGGAGGGGAGGCGGCAACCCCTTAAACCCCGCACGGCCCGCAAGTTCCCCGCCTTCTCCGCTCCCTCCAGGCTGATCCCCGAGATCACTGGCCAACCCGCCGCTCCCGGGGCTAACGGCCACCCCGAGCGTTCCTGCTGGAAGGGAGAGGAGGCGCAACACTTGTTGGGGGAAAGGAATGCTGGGCGGCTCGGGCCTACCCAGGCCGCCCCCTCCCCATCTGCTTCCAGTCTCTCGGCCTTCGAAAACGCGAGGGGGAGCCTCCAGACGCCCAGCTTAGGGATCCATGGGCAGAGGGGAAGAGGAAGGGAGGCAGGTGGAGAGGCGGTTCCGCGCACGGGAGCGCACAGAGACTAAGAAAGGGGCGTTCACGCGGGAGTGGAGTCATTAATTTGGGGAGAAGCGTCCACCTTTGTTACTTGGAGCGCCCCACTCTGCAGTGAAGGGGGTTCCCTCGGTATAGAAGAGAGACCTGTGGGAAGGAGTGTACCCATTTTCATTAATCCTGGGGAGAGGGTTTGGAGACTCCCCCGCCAAGTTTTCCAAGAAGGGTCAGGGTCTCCGGGGTGGGATGGGGCTGGCAACCCTTTTACCAAATCTAGTGGTGGGTGTGAGGGTGTGTGAGCGCGTGCGTGCGCTCCCAGACCGTCTTGGGGACTCGAAGGGGTAAGACTTCCCTTTATACTAAACTGCGGACAGAGGGCCACAGCGCAGAACACCCATTGCCTGCTCAACCCACGCCCGGCGCCCCTCCATTTGCCCCTCCCTTGTGAGGGGATCTAGCCAGCCCGGGCATGCTGTACCCAAGCAACCAAGCTGCGAGCTCACCGGTCCTGGCTGCCGCGCTGACCAGGGTCTGCAGGCGGAGGAGGGAGGCGGGGGGAGGAGGAAGAGAAGGGAAGAACTCTCGTGGGCAAGGGCGGGAGCTGGACCCTGTTTCCTGCCCCGCCCAGGCTGCCGCCTTCCCCCGCCTCCGCCTCCCCCCCTTCCTTCGCCCCGCCCCTTACTCCGCCCCTCGTCTGCCCGCGTCTCTGACAGCTGGGCTGGGTTCGGCTCTCCCCGCCCACGGCTGGAGGGAGCCCGCGAGGGCGCACGGAGGCCTCTGGCCGCGCGCTCCGCGAAGCGCACTCCGCCCCCGCCCCCCACCCCCGGCATCTTGGAGCCACCCTGACAGGCCCTGAATAGTTTACAAATGAGAAAACTGAGGCCCGTCCTACACCCTTGGCTTGAAGTGAGAGTGCCCAGGCCACCGCCGAGACAGGTGGACTGGCCTCTGAGCACGGGATTGCGCAGCGTCTTAGGGCTTCCCCTGCCTAAATACCTACACCTGAACCACCTCTTTTGGAAGCATTCCTGGAGCCCAGGACACCCAAGGATGAGGTACGGCCTTGACCGGCAGGTTTTAGCCATTCTCACGCAGATATCATGAGCCAGCGAGACTCTTAAAGATGGGTGAGGTTATTTTCTCCATTTTTTATAATTGAAAAAGTCTAAACCCAAGTCCCTCAGTTCCACGTCAGAGCCGGACACATGTTCCCTGGTCCCAAATCCAGCCCATAGAGTAGGGTTTCTCAATGGCAGCGCTATTGACATTTTGGGCGGGAAAATTTTGTTTTGAGGGGATGGCCCTGTGTTTTGTAGAATGTTTAGCAGCGTCCCTGACCTCGACCCACTAGATGCCAGTAGTCATCCCCTCCCTCCCAGTTGTGACAACCAAAAATGTCCCCAAACACTGCCAAATGCCCTGTGAGGGGGGCACAATCTTCCTGTTAAGAACCACTGTTCCTGTTAAGAACCATAGGGGTGCCTGGGTGGCACAGTTGGCTCTGGTAGTGATCCCAGGGTGCTGGGATCGAGCCCCACCTCTGGCTCCCTGCTTGGGGGGGGAGGGGAGGGTCTGCTTCTTCCTCTCCCTTTCCCCCTCCCTGCACACTCTCTCTCTCACAAATAAATAAATCTTATATGTATACACACACATATATATACACACACACACACATATATATATGTATATATATACTGTCATAGAGCTACTGGTAAAGACGATGAGCTGGGGGGTCCTGGGGTCCCAACAGACCTGGGCCCTGATCTCAGGGCTGACTTTTACTCTGTGACCTTGGGTGAGTTAACGCTCCGGGCCTGGGTTTCATCTGTAAAATGACAGGCCTGAGCATTGGCCTGGTACTGCATAGTTCTCAGGCATTTTCCATCCAAGGACCTCGGTGGACCTACCTTTCCTACCATAGCAGCCTGGGAAACAGTCACGGGGTTTTAGTGAGGACCGATGCAAAAATAGCTGTAAAGAAGTTAGTACCTATCTGGAGTATAGGAGGGACTCAAAAAGATTTGATGGTACAGTCTTCTACCCACTAATACCTCTAGAAATAAACAGGCTGGTGGATAAAGAAATAAGCTTGGGGACAATAATAATGAAGTTAGGGGATCCCGTCCAATTCCACAACAGCCCACAAAAGAGCTAATGGTGGAGACAGGACATGGACAGATAAATGCCCCTAAATTCTTAAGTTTCGGGCAGCCCTGTGTGGCTTCATGCATTTTATTCTGCTGCAGTATGATGGGTGCCCCACCTAAAATGTTGTGGGTTTTTTTTCCCTTTAGAACAAAACATTACAACTGTCATTCCCTGGTAGGCATTGCTTTGGAAAGCTGAACTGGGGCATTCCCCAGAATTTTTGTTCAAGGGTGCCATCTAGGGGTGCCTTTGTGAATTCTCTACTACCCCCCCCAACCTCTGTCATTGCAGGGACAGCCAGGTTTTGCTTTTTTCTTGTGTGTTGGCTGCCTTTTCCACCATATTATGGGTTCCCTGATGGCTGGGATCTTAGCTTTTTCCATATCATCAGGACTCAGCTTCATGACGACCATTGATGGCTCAATAAAATAAAGCTATGTGCAGCCTCTTCTATGCTTTTCAAAGGTTACTTGCTCTGGCTAAGCAACCATTTCAGGTCTTAGGAAAGACCTACCAGGAGCACTGGGCTCTGAATAAGAAATGTGTGAAAATTTCCCAGCAACACATTGAGACCCTAAGCTGTTAATATCACAGAGAGAGAGAACACCCAGATTCTAGCTGACCTCTTCTCCCCCAAATTGCCAGACTTAGCAAATAAAAATCCAGGACACCCAGTTCAAAGTGAAGGTAACTTTTTTAATGTAAGTATGTCCCAAATATTGAATACTCACACTAAAAAATTATTTATTTACCTGAAATTCTAATTTTACTGGGTATCCTGTGTTTTAGCTGGCAACCCTGTGTACTTGGAATTGAGGGATTGAGGGACTTGAAGCCTGCATCCGTCTTGGGAATGATCAAACAGAAAGTTAAGTCAGATAATTCTGGTGCAGATGTGGCCAGGGGTTGGATGGGGGGCGGGGAACATAGCATTTTCATTCTCCTTAGTAGATATTTTATTTATTTTCTATCTTTCTTCAGACCATATGTAGGTTTTTGGTTAAAGCTGGGGAGCAGATTCCATAGTCAGGTTCAAATCCCAACTTTGCTACCAACCTAGCTGAGTGACTATGGGCAGGTTACTTAACCTCTCTGTGTCTCAGTTTCTTCAGTTATAAAACTTGAGATAATAATTGTATTTATTTTCTGGGTTGTTTAGTAGATTTAGAAATGATGCTCATTAAGTGCTTAGCACAGTACCAGCAGATACATATAGCTCAGTACTTGAAAGCCATAATCATTGTTTTGATATTTTTGAACACAGGTAGACTTAAAGTACACTAACTTTCAGACGGAGACATGTCTCCTACTCACCCATGGGGTCATGAGGCTCATTAGCATCCTACCAGTCCCTTTCTACTTACTCACTTTGTTGAGTTACAGCTGCTGGTTTTTGTGGGACATTGGGTTTCATGCCCCATTATAGGAGGCCTGGTAATAACCCCATTGCTGTCTAAACCAAAGTCTCAAACCCTGTCTCTAATTCATTTATTCCAGATACTTTTTGAAACTGTATGTAGTATGGTGTCTAAATGTGGTATATGTCTGATTGGATAGGAGCCCCCAAATGTGGGGTGACGATCAGCTGGAAGCTGGTGGCACAGGAGTTAAAAGGATTTACCTGAGGCAGAACAAAGGAGACAGAAGTTTATTGAATACACTGCAAGGCAGGGATGGGTGGAAGTGCAGAGGAAGTAGCAGGTGGGGGCTGTTTTTAAAGGCAAAGGTAGGGAGGTGTGGGAACATACAGAATTCTCCCCTTTTTGGTAACAGTGCCTGGTTGTAAGTGGCCCATTGGTTAGTTAGGGCCTATGGATATTTTGAGGTGGGTCATCTGATGGGCCTCTCTGTATTCAGCCAGGGGGTGGCTGTGGGCCCTGCCTACATTCCATTGCTCAAGCCTGTTTGCCTAAAAGTGGCCTCTACCTATATGCCTGATGATACAGAGTACAAATATAAGAGATGAGCAACCACGAGGTTATTTTGAAAGTATGGAGTGCCCAACTTTGAGGAAGAAGTAAGAAAAAGGAGCAAGGGAAGTACTTGGTGCCATGCAGTGCTCATGGTAGGATCTCAGAAATGTTTGTGTTCAGGTCAGGTCCTTGGTGGAAAGAGCACTGGACTCGGGTCATGAGGACTGGCTTCGACTTGGATCAGTGTTTCTTAGGAGTCGCATCAACTTGGGAAAGTTACGTATCTTGCTCAGTTTTGATTTTCTTGTCCACAAAATGGGAACAACATGGAGTTTGGGGGAAAATTGAATGAAATGACAGATATGCAAGCATGGCACCCCAAAAGAGCTCAGTAAGTCTAACTTGGTTTTGAGAGAACTTTGAAAGCGACCAAGTAACACGTGCTTTGAATATTTGGGCAGCAGCTAATATTGTAACCATCAGTACACATGTGTGCGAGTGTGTGTGTGTTTCTGCGTTTATAATAAGGATTACATTAGCCACAACATCTATGGAGTGCCTCTTGCATCGGGTGACCAAGCCATCCCACTTTGCCTAGGACTGAGGGGGTTTCCAGGATGCAGGACTTACACTGTTAAAAAACCCAGACAAATGGGGCACCTGGGTGCCTCAGTCGGTTAAGCGGTTGCCTTCAGCTCAGGTCATGATCCCAGGGTCCTGGGATCGAGCCCCGCATCGGGCTCTCTGCTCAGCGGGGAGCCTGCTTCTCCCTCTTCCTCTGCGTGCCTCTCTGCCTACTTGTGCTCTCCCTTTATCTCTCTGTCAAATAAATAAATAAAATCTTAAAAAAAAAAAGAGTATTCCACGGAAACTGGGACGAGTTGGTCACCCCCTGCTATGTGCAAATTGCTTTACAGACATTATCTCATTAAACTTTTAAACCCTACCCTATGAGGTGGGTACTCACATTGTTGCCATTTTACATTTAAAAAGGACACTTAGATTAAGCAACTTGCTCAAGCCACTTAGCTAATTAATGGGAAGGGCGGGATCTGAACCCAGCTGTGTCCAGCCCAAGACTTTAACCACCATGCTATTTGCATTTAGACTTCACCAAAGGCGCAGTCTTTCATTGCCACTCACCTCCACATTCCCAGATCATTGCTAACACCCTCCCATCTCCGCTTCTGTCATCAACGATTTCTGCTGCCCAGCCAGGCCTCCAGCAAAGGAAGACACCCGCTGAGTCAAGCCCAGTCTTGTATCTGGGCACAGCTGAGGCCCCTCCTTCCTTAGCAACAGACGCTGAAACCTGGTTACGGGCCCCAGGGCCTGGGTGCAAGCAAGCACCTACAATGTTAAAACAGCCCGGGGAAGAGGAGAGAGAAGAGCTCATGCTGCCAGGGTATTGTTCAGCGGGGTGTTTCCTCCCTCTTCTCTCTATTAATATGTAACTCTGCTTCAGTTTTTCCTC